CAAACAACCAAGATCATGCTGTCAAACTATGCTTCCAATTATGTAGCACATGTACTCAATTCTAACATTATATATTTGTATGTACAGTTATACAATTCTGTATGGGTACTACCAGAAGATTCTTGTCTCCAGCAAGGGCTAAGGATTGATCAGTGCAGAGCAAAGAGAGTAGAGCCCCGTTCTTGTATAAAGTTGAATGTTGTTCCACACTTCCTTCATCTCCATGTCTCTGCTTAAAACCCCAGTTTATAACACCGCATTCCAAATCCCCCCCCCCCAATCTCGTCTTCAAAAATACTCCCTAAGAGTACAGTTCTAAGAATACTTTTTCCTGGCTGGGAGTAATGTCAACTAAGTAGACCTGAGGAGGATTCTGAGGTAGATTTGCTTATGGTTTCTCTCTAAATCCTTTCCCCCTCAAGCACAGGACATAAATACTTACATGCGTTCTCTAATGTTACATCTTTTTTTTTTAAGTAGTGTCATTTAATCCCTTCTGCCCATCTTGTCCAGGTCTCTTGTTTCCACAAACAGCTTTCTTCTGCAGCAGCTGAACAGAGAGCAGGGCCCTTCCTCAGCCAGAGGAGCCCTTCTTTCGGAGAAGATCACCACTCCCGCCGAGGTGCCTTTCTTTGAGAGAACGTCCCACCATGCTCTGTCCTCTTCTGCCTTTGGCTCCAGCCAGCTGTGCAGTTCACAGCATCTCAGCAGCTGCCCTCTCTGACAGGGAGCACAAAATCACCTTCCCAGGCAGAATATCTCATGAACTGTGCTTTGTCTCACATGGAATGATGTGTCTGCAGTTTGCGGCTTCTATTGATGTGATTTCTTTGACCTGGCATTGATCTTAGCCGAGGGAGGGCCCAGTGGATCCTCCACTCCAAGCTCCCACTCTGGAGGCAGAAGGAGATGTTAAACCTGGTTTGTTCCCAACAAGTTAAGAAAAGAAGAGACTCTGCCACCTCCGCCAGAACTGGTCCCAGTTTTCCAGGAAACCCACATTTCTGTATTTATCTTGTGTGTGTGTGTTCTTCAGCCGACTTTCCAAAGGTCTACATTAGCAAATCCTGGGGCTCCATACTAGGAGCCGATGGGCAACTAGTCTGGGCATTTCAGTATTGGTCTTCCCCTCCCTTCTTCTCCTAGTATACAAGGCTGGCTGAAGCATTAGAAAGGTCAAAGCTCCTCTCCAAGACAGGAGTGGAAGCAGTGGAAAGAAAGAGCCTTCCCCTGCAAAAGAGGCATGAAAGGCAAGTGGGGAAGAGGATCTTTCCTGCCTTTCCATCTGCACAGCTGCACCTCCACCAAAGCCCTGCCCAGCTTCCATCTGGAGTTCAACAGAAGCAGGGTGAGAACAAAGCTCCCCTGGCCCCTACATGGGAGTATGGAGGGAGAGGTCTGTGGGCCAGTGCTGAGTGGTTGAGTCAGGCACGTGTTCACTGATCACCTGTCCTCTCATGGCCACTCCTCACATGAGTGGCTGTCATAAGTCTTTGGTTTCATTTCTATTTCTGCAGATTTTGAGGAGAAGGTAGGTTCAGCTTACATGAATTAAACCAAATGTGCCCCTTTGGAGTATTTCCCCCCACTGAAACTAGGGGGAAGCTACTGGGGATCCAGGGTCATAGCCAGCAGTGGGGCATTAGGGGCAGTACCCCCTTTTGAAGCCTGTTCCTTCAAGGAGAATGCAACCCCATCCTGAATCTTTAGCACCTAGTAAGTATGTGCGCACACATAAAAGCGTTTCATGCTCACATACTTTGTCAGCTCATCCCCCCCCTCCCCTCAGTCACAAAACTCCAAGGAACCCACAGACAGATCTTGGAAAAGAGTATCTTATAGCTGGGCATGTAAGGACAGTTGTTTTGGCTTGTAGATTTACCATTTGGCACAGGAGGTCCGATTAAGCAATTTATTGTGGCGTATGCAGATAAGAGGTTCAGAACAGGCAGTTAAAGGAAAATTAAAAGTGTCAGGCTATCTTATCTATATCTTTGAGATTCAGGCATGCAATACAGTCTGCAGAGCTACTCAAGAAACCAGCTGAGAGGCAGCTATCTTTTCTCCCAGAGAGTTGGCAGACTGTAAAAGGTGAAACAGACTTCTTTGAGATCTGAAGCCTAAGAAAAGCGGAAGCACATCGTTAGACCAATCGCTTCCCAAGAGACAGACACAGATTTTCCCTCTAGAAATTGGCAGGACCCCACAGGAGAAGATTTTCCCATGGCCAGGCAACCAAAGTAGGTAGCATCTGTGAAGGTGGAGGTTATGTACACAGGGGGTAAGGGGAAGATAAGTGCTGGGTTTCCAAGCCCAGTCAAGACCTCTGGTTGGGTGTGACTGTCTCCTGTCATTTGGAAGGAAGCATTAATTACTCGAGTTAATTCCAAATTCCAGCAGGTTGCCATGTTAGTCTGTCACAGCACAGACAAAAAGGAGCCTTGTGGAACCTTAGTGCGCATTTCTCCCATCACAGGAACCAAAGCAGCATGCCTAGAGCTGCTAGAGGTCTCCCATCCCTTGAGTCCTTGGAGAAGGAACGGTTCCCCAATACCATAGATGTCTTCCTCTGTCTTTGTGCATGCTTGAATTATGTTTTCCTTTGTTTGGAGAAAACGTTGGTTTGGCTTTGCTCCACAGAGGCTTGCCTATTTGGTTTTTAAGTTTTCCTAAACCAGCATGAGAAAGTATACAGTTTGGTTCGCTGGCCTAGCTGTGTTGCCTTTCTGGTGATGCTTCAGATAGCACTGAAGGACCTCATGCTTTCCCTTCTCACACACTTGTCTATACACACGCACACGTCTACTTGGTCTTTGGAAATATCTACTGAGAATGTGTTCTGCTTGTCTGCTTTCAAAAGCTGTTGATCTGTCAAATTACTGCCCTTTCTCCAAAGAATCCAGGGCACCATAAATGGCTCTCTTCTCCTCCTCCTAGCCTCACAACCACCCTGAAAGGTAGGATAGGCTGAGGGAAATGAACTGACCCAAAGTCACCCAGTGAGCTTGGAGGAAGGGATTTGAACCCAGATCTCACAAGTCCTAGTCCAACACACTGGCTACAACACCATACTGGCTGCCCAATTCTTTTTGCGTTTTTTTTTTACAATTTACAAATCTTTCTTTCTAACAAGTGACAGTTAACAATCATTGATCAGTGATGGAGGAAATTGTAAAACTTACATTAGCTGTCCATTCTGATGATTATAAACTTTTTATATGTGAAATCAATAAAGCTGTTTTTCAGCATAAGCAGGCTTGGTTTCTTTCCCTCTCCCCCACTAAACACTTTTCTATATGTCCTTGGCTTGGGGACAGATATGGCTGAGGTGCGTTTTGTTCAAGAAGAGGTCTGTTCATCCAGCATACATGCAAACATGGTTTAAAGGCGTTGCCCTGCCAAGACAGGATTGGCTGAGAAATTTGCCGCAAGCTCACCTTTCCAGGCAGCACTGCAAGACCCAAGTCCTGATGCAGTGGTTGCAATCACGTGCTAAGCCAGGACCCCACTTGCAGGCTACATCTTCTTTGAAAGATTCCATGCAGAAACATGGACACAAAAGCTTATATCCAGAATTACACTTTGCTGTTCTTAAAGGTGCCACTGGACTCGAGCTTCGTTTTACTGCTACATGTAAAGCCACTCTCCAGTTGAGTACTGGGTCCGGTTCAAAGTGTTGGTGTTAACCTTTAAGGCCCTATGCGGCCAAGGACCGACATATCTGCAGGACCGTCTCTCCCCATATGTGCCCTGGAGAGCTTTATGCTTGGCAGAGCAACATCGACTGGAAGTCCCTGGCCCAAAAGACGCCCGCCTAGCCTTGACGAGGGCCAGAACTTTTTCTGTCCTGGCCCCAGTCTGGTGGAACATGCTCCCAATTGAGATCAAGGCCCTGCAGGATTTATTACAGTTCCGCAGGGCCTGTAAAACGGAGATGTTCCGCCAGGCTTTTGGCTAACTGGCCGGCATCCATTCATTTAAATCTCTCCTGCCCAGACTGCCCTCAAATCCCCCTATGGTGTAGTTGTCAGTCATCACGGTCAAGTACAATGGGACTGTTTATCATATTTCTGCCCACCTGATCTTCAACACAAGCTGTACAATCGTCTGTTGCTGGCATACCATCTGTCTTTTATTCAGGATTCTTACTGCTATGGTTTTAAGAAGTTGTTTTATATTTGTTATGACCTGTCCTGATGGGGATTTGCATGGGATTGGAGAAATCAGGTTGTCATTCTGAGAAAGGAAAGGGGGGTGGGTAGGAGTTAACAACCCCCCTCAACCTTTTGTTACTGCAAGGAATTCTGCACGTGTTTTAAGAAACCTGCTACAACTTAGGTAATGTGTGTTTAACTCAGCTGGTTCAACTGTATCATTTTTTGTTTGAACCTCTCTGTGTTGTTGTTGCCGTGTGCCTTTCCCTGTATTATATTTTCTGTCCTCCCCCCCCCCCATTTTGGAAGCCAACCACCTTTCCTCCCATTATAATAAACCTTTTAAAATATACAGACATTTATTTGGCTTCACTTAATATATTTTTTCCTCTGGGAGGTTCTCTTAATCTCTTCCCCACAAGCTAGACTCTATGGGTGCTACCAGGTTGGCTATAAGGTATTTTCTAGACTTTCTACCCTGTCACTTTATTATTACGCTAGTACTGTGCTGGAAGGGTGCCTTCTGTTGGCTGGTCAGTCCAGATGTTCTCAGGAGGTCCTGAGTGGTGGCAGCAAGTGACAAGTGTATTTTCCAGGGAACCCTTGGTCTAAGGGCATTTCCCACCAAGGAAAGACACCATTTCCCCCTTCCTACCAGAACACTCTGCTGTTAAGAACTGTGTTGTTCAGAAGCAGCAGAACACAGTTCGAGTCAAGTGGCACCTTTTAAGACCGACAACGTTTTATTCAAAGTCTAAGCTGATAGATACTGGCAGGCAGGGCTGACAACACCAGACCGTGCTTTTTTGAAAGATCCTGCAGCGAACATGATCCCAAGACAAATTGTTCACCAAGATTTTATTTATAAAAGCCTCATTGCAGCAACATACAGAAGCACAAAGCATGTTGCCAGCTGCCTCTTTGGTCCTTCCGGCTGCCCTCTGGGCTCTCACCACGGCAGAATGTTCCCTTCCCAAGTGACCAGGACCCCGTGCTGTTTTTCGGAGATGTTGCCGAGTACTTTCATTATGCCATTCACGCTCTCCCCCACGGTAATGTCAGCCTGCAATGTTCAGAACTGTTGTCAGAAAATAGGAAAGGCAGCAAAAGTGGCACATCCTGTAAGGGTGGGGGAGTGACTTGATTGATGGCTGTCTTGCTACAGACATGCCAGTGTATTACCTAGCCTGCTGGTGAATCACTTGCTTTCCCCTGGAGTCTGGTGTCAACCAAGAAGAAGTTACAGCCTCAATCAAACACCAGCAAGAAGATGTGGGGAGCAAACTGGAGAAATGTCAGGGCAGTGCCAAAAATAGGCCGCATTCAGCATCATCATCATACCTGCGCTCCAAGCAACTTCTGCAAAACATCTTGCAGAAAGTATTTGCTGTCGCACAGTGAATTTGTCCTGGTCGCCCTGTTTTGGTTTTATCTTCTGGAAAGATCTGGTATGATAAAGGGGGGATGGGTGGTGGTGGGGGAACAGTCACACCAGGGATATGCAACACTTCAAGTCACTAAACAAATTCTTTGTCTTAAAAAGTCCAGTGCAGTGTATTGGTTAAAAGTATTAGACTATTATCTGGGAGACCTGGGTTCGGATCTCCACTCGTGCCGTGGAAGCTCGCTGGATAACCACAGGCAAGTCACAATCTCTCAGCCTAACCTACCTCACAGGGGATAACCACAGGCAAGTCACAATCTCTCAGCCTAACCTACCTCACAGGGGTGTTGTGAGAATAAAATGGAGGCGAGGAAAATGATGTAAGCTGCCTTGGGCCCTCTCTGGGGATAATAAATAATAATAAAGCACCACAGAAGTAATTAAATAAATCTGGTTCACAAAGCAATACATAATATGTATGGGGATCCATACCCAGCAGGTGTGCTCTGGAAATTCCTGGGTAAGAATTGATTCCTGGGGGAGCAGGGCCCCAATTCGGGTCAGAAACATGACTTGCAGATAGAGGGGACTTAAAGCCTTCCCTCTCTGCCATCCTCCCAACCTGAAACAGCCTTGGGGAGTCACTATTTGTCCTATTGTGGGCAGCATGTATGCCAGTTAGTTACACATATAGGTCCCTAACGGAGCAACTGGCAGATCCTCAGGGCCATATCAGATCAAGAAAATGGTGAGGGGAGGAGGTTTAAGGCCCTTCTCCCCACTCATCTTGTTCAGATCCAAATCAGGCCCCTGCAGACCTGGGAATCTGAGATTTACCTGGGAACTCCCAATGCACATCTGCTTGTCAGTTCCCAGGGCACACTGCAGGAGATGGACCCTGGAACAAAGTTTGGTGTAGTTTGTCAGGAACAAGATCCCACATGTATGAAGGTCTCTTAAAGCCTGCTTGAAATTCTACAATCAATGGATTTGACAAGAGAATGTGATGTCTTTAATTATGGCATTGCTCTCTGAGATGACTTGGCAGGCAAATGGAAGTGAATCAGCCAAAAACAACAGATAAATGGATATGCTGAGAGAAAAGGCATAGACAGGTATGTGCTTGTACTGAACACCCAAGGAACAGAGAAACTCTCAGGCATGCATTTACTTGCCTGGAGAGATTATGTTAATGAGTGAGGGGGGTGCAAAATTAAACAATAATAATCATGTGTTATCGAGTTGCAAGCGACTCATGGCAACCCCAGGACTGTTTAAATAGATATGTATGAAGGCTGATGTTCGAAACTTCTACCAGCATGGGAGAAAATCTACCTACTTAAGGCAGGCAGTGTAAAAAGCATGGTGTTCTCTACTTCCTGTGGAAAGTATACCTTCTCCTTCTTTTGAACCCATTATTTACAGGTGATGTGAGAAAACACTAATGCCATCAGAAACCATTAGCTTCGTTGGAGGTCAGATTTAAGCAAGTTCCTCAGTCTGAAAGGGTATATATTCATGGAAGTAATATTGTAGACTCTGTTCTGGATATGTTATTATCAGAGTTCCTCTTAAGCTGAGTTAGTGTGAGCTAGCTCACAGTATTTCAGCCTCCAGCTCACACAATTTTGTCTTAGCTCAGGAAGGATGGCTCCAGAGCAAACTAATTTATGCAGTAGCCAAATCGCTCGCTCAGAACTTTAATGCCAGTAGTTCACAAAGTAGAATTTTTGCTCACAAGACTCCACAGCTTACGGGTGTGTCGAACTCACTGGAAATGTGTTATTTAAAGTTTTAAAATTCTTTAATTGTCTTTGTCTGTGTCCTTTATAAAGTTTATATCTCTGCTACCTGGCATTACCTTTTATGACACACATGGCCCAGCCCAACAAGATCTCATTTATGTCAGATCCAGCCCTCATAACAAATGAGTTCGACACCCCTGGCTTAGAGGGAGCATTGGTTATTATCTTGTAGTCTTTATTCAGGGCCTCAGTCTAATTTGCCGGTGCCTTGGATTTCTAAACTTTCCAGAAGATCATCCAAATATGTTGTTTCCATTTTTCTTTTTGGTGAAAGATTATATTACCAGTGGCAAAATTCCTATCTCTTGCAGTTAGAATGCAATTAAAAAGGGTCAAGTCTATGTAAGAGGGCATTATGATAATTTCTAAAGACTGTTCTGTTTGCTTTGTGCACTGTGGTTATTGGACTGGAACGGAAATGAGCTGAACTGAAATGAATGCCATCAGAAAAGGAGATGGCATTCTGCAGAAATTCATGCTAGCACTTGTGGTGTACAAGGGAATAGTAATCTGTGTGAAAAAGATGCTAACACTAGTTCAATAATAACGAAAGTTTCCTCTTGAGGTGAAGATGCATGAAAAATAATATACGAAGAATCTGGATATTAAGAACTCCATTTCGAAGAACTTCCACAGTAAATAATTGGGCAGTTATTGACAGCACACTTCCTTCCATAATTACTAGCAACAAAAAAGCTAGCTTGTAGAGGCAGTAATTATGGAAGGAAGTGTGATGTAAAGCCTTGAGCTTTTCTTGAGATGTGCTGTCAATAACTACCCATTTATTTACTGAGAAAGTTCTTCGAAACGGAGTTCTTAATATCTGGAATCTTTGTTATTACTGAACCAGTGTTAGCGTCTTTTTCACACAGATTACTATTCCCTTGTATACCTACACTGTGTGTTCCTCTTTGGTTGCTGTTAGCACTTGTGATGTGGCAGAGCCAAAGGCCCCACCGTGTGCAAGGGGCCTCTAACTCCCAAGGTACCATGGAGAAATCTACCTTATCACTTCCCAGCTCAGTTTTCACCCAGCCAGGATGTATCGCAGTGCATAAGATCCCTTCATCTTTGTAACCCATTGACTGGCACTTGGTGAGCATGTTCAGAGCAGCCTGAAAAGAGATCGACACAGGAATAAAAGCAGCATTAAGTAACCAAATCATAAAGCAGGGGTGAGGGGTCAATAAAGTTAACCATGTGGATCACTGGCTGAACCCCATTTGGGATCAAAAGATTGGCACTGAAGATTTGCCTTGCCCGGGACATGGACCCGACTCTTTCCTCACACCTCCAGCCAGCACTGTACGATCAATGGCTGCTCATGCTCAGCTTCACTCTGTAAGCTGGATCTGAGTTAAAAATCTTTCTCAGTTTTGCCTCCTAGGAACTAAGATTGGGCCTTTATCTGAGGGTAAGTGCTGAGCCATGCAGTTGGATTCAACCAACTTTTCTGCTGGTGAAAAAGGCAGGAAGAGTCACTCAGTGATTCTGCACTGACATCATGGGGGAAGGGGGCAGGGACAGCAGTGATCAGTTTGGGGACAAGGTGTGCGGATCCCACCTGCCTGTCCTACACTTGCTGCTGCTTCCACAGCAGGGGTGGCTTATCCCATCCCACCCCTGTGTGGAAACGGCTTTTATCTCCCTTCCTAAATCTGCTAAAAAAACAATTTCAACATGGACTCCATCCTGGGCTGCAGTCAAACAAGCAGTTTGATCTGATGTCATTGCTGTTCCCTTCTGGATTTAAAGTGCACAATCAGATAGCAACATCTGCCCCCTGTTTCCCAGTCGCTGGCATCCTGTTCTGACCCGCCTTGGAATCAGGGTTATTAGGCACCGGGGAAAGTTCAGTCTTTATGGACGTCAGCGCTTTCACCCCACATTCCCAGGTGTCTGAACTCCCCTGTTGCAAACTCAAGCCAGCTGGGAAATGTGAACCTTCCCGTCCATTTCCGCCCCCCTCTTTTTTGACCAGGTAGTGACGTGTGCATGAGCGCATAATCACCCCCGGTGTTGTCAGTCACCGACTGTACATCCAAGCGGCCAAGCAGTCATTCTGGATCGGGAGCCCCCAAGGAAGTTGTTTTTGAGCGACAACCCCCCAAAAAAACCCCTCCTTCCTGTTTTTACTTCAGAGTTGTTGTTTGAGAGTATCCCATGATTGACACAAGAGTAAATGTACAGAAGTTAGTGGGACTACTCACAAATAAATCTACATGAGGCTTACACTCCCCCTCCCCATATGTTCCAATGAAGAGAGGCGAAGCAAAGGAGTACTTGGTGGAGGGATTGCAGAGCTGTCGAAATGGAGTGGTGCACTGAATAAACATTTCTGCGCATGCGCGACAGACAATTTTTTTAAAAAAAGGATGCTGCTCGACTGCCCACGCTGTGGTTAGTGTGCAGCAGTAATCTGAATGGCCAACCACGAAGTGAATGAGAGGTGAGGCAGATTCAGGGTGGGATATTTAATCAAAACTCTCCGTTACAAAAAACCCTGGATTAATCAGAGGCAGGGCCAGAGCGCACCAAGCCTGTCATCTGACCACAGCCCTGGAGTCACAGATTAATCACAGCTCACTCATGATGACAGCGCTATATCTTTGGCCACTTGATACCAAGCCTATCCGCTCGTCTACCATGGAACCTGATTAACAGCAATGCAAGATTCGGTCTAGATTCCACAGTGGGATGCTTACCTTACTGCAGCGATAGGAGACCACAGGCATGAAGAAATAGGTTTCAGGGGTCTTCTCAATAGATGCCAGGATGGTGGACATATTGACGATGGCAGCTTTCCCACAGCTCATGCCTTTCTGCTGGGATGCATGTGCCGCCTTCTTCAGTAAAGGCAAGAAGGCCTAGAGGGAGGAGGAAGAACCACTGATTTGGTAGCAAAATGGCTTTTCGTACCCAACTGGTTTGCACAACCATAAATGTGGGACATGCAGGTGCTTCAGACAGGAATCTTTTTTTAAATTATTATTATTACACAGGCTCTTAAGAAGAAGACTAAGCACCTTGGCCCTGCTGGTTCTTAGGGTTACCAACACTGGGTTGGGAAATCCCTGGAGAATGGGGGCAATACCTGGGAAGATCAAAGTTTGTGCAGGAAGGAGCTAAGTGGGGATGTAATCCCATAGAGTCCATCCTCTAAAGCTGCCATTCCCTCTGGGAGAAACAGATCTCTGTAGTCTGGAGATTATTTGTAATTCTGGGAGAACTCCAGGCCCCACCTGGAGGTTGGCAGCCCTACTCAGCCCTACTCAGCCAAAAATCTGAAGACACTGGAGGCACAGTCCCAAGTAGGGTTGCCAGATCTTCATGACACGCTGGTGGGGAGTGGGAGGGAGCCTTCCAGCAATGGGGTGGGGCTCCGCCCCCCAAATAGCGACCTTCCGCAGTGACATCCTCAACGCAATGACGTCACACTGAAGTGACATCATCACACCTGGTTCGAGGGCAAAACTCTATGGTAAAATTGCCCTCAAATCATAGAGTTTGGCCCAAAAACCAGAACGTTGCCACACAACGTCCCTGGAGTGATGACGTAACTTCCACGTGCTGTCATCATGTCGGGGATGTTGCCATGCAATGTTGTTGTTTGGGGGTAGACAGGCCCCTGCCTGAGGAATGGGAACCTTGTTGTTGTTCAGTCGCACAGTCGAGTCCGACTCTTCGCGACCCCATGGATCATCTCCCGCCAGGCCCTCCTGTCTTCTGCCGTCCTCTGAAGTTGGCTCAATTTCATGTTCGTTGCATCGATGACACTGTCTAACCATATCATCCTTTGCCGCCCCGTCTTCTTTGACCTTCGATCTTTCCCAGCATCAGGGTCTTCTCCAGTGAGTGCTCCCTTCTCATTTGGTGGCCAAAGTATTTGAGCTTCAGTTTCATTATCTGGCCTTCCAGGGAACAGTCAGGGTTGATTTCTTTGAGGATTGACTGATTTGTTCTTCTTGCAGTCCAAGGGACTCTCAAGAGTCTTCTCCAGCACCATAGTTCAAAAGAATCTATTCTTCGGCGCTCGGCCTTCCTTATAGTCCAGCTCTCGCAGCCATACATGACTACTGGGAATACCATTGCTTTGACCATGCGGACTTTTGTTGGCAGGGTGATGTCTCTACTTTTTATCATGCTGTTTAGGTTCGCCATCGCTTTCCTCCCAAGGAGCAGGCGTCTTTTAATTTCATGGCTGCAGTCACAGTCTGCGGTGATCTGGGATCCCAGGAACGTGAAGTCTGTCACTACTTCCACGACTTCCCCTTCTATTTGCCAAGGAGTGATGGGGCCGGATGCCATGATCTTAGTTTTTTTGATGTTGAGCTTCAAGCCCACTTTTGCGCTCTCCTCTTTTACTCTGAGCAAGAGGCTCTTTAGATCCTTTTCACTTTCAGCCATTAGAGTGGTATCATCTGCATATCTGAGGTTGTTGATCTTTTCCCCAGCAATCTTAATTCCCGCTTGTGATTCATCCAGGCCAGCATTTCGCATGATGTACTCTGCATATATATTAAATAAGCAAGGTGACAGTATACATCCTTGTCGTACTCCTTTTCCTATGCTGAACCAATCAGTTGTTCCGTATCCGGTTCTAACTGTCGCTTCTTGGCCCTTATACAGGTTTCTCAAGAGACATGTGAGGTGGTCTGGTACTCCCATCTCTTTAAGGACCTGCCATAGTTTGTTGTGATCCACACAGTCAAAGGCTTTAGCATAGTCAATGAAGCAGAAGTAGATATTTTTCTGGTACTCTCTTGCTTTCTCCATAATCCAGCGAATGTTGGCAATATGATCTCTCGTTCCTCTACCTCTTCGAAACCCAGCTTGTACTTCTGGTAGTTCTCTATCCACGTACTGTTGAAGCCTAGCTTGTAGGATCTTGAGCATGACCTTGCTAGCGTGTGATATGAGTGCAATTGTGCGATAGTTTGAACATTCCTTGGCATTGCCCTTCTTTGGGATTGGAATGTATACTGATCTTTTCCAATCCTGTGGCCACTGTTGCGTTTTCCAAATTTGCTGGCAAATGGAGTGCAGAACTTTAACAGCATCATCTTCTAAGACTTTGAATAGCTCAGCTGGAATACCATCACCTCCACTAGCTTTGTTGTTAGTAATGCTTTCTAAGGCCCATTTAACTTCACATTCCAGGATGTCTGGCTCAAGGTCAGTGATTATACCGTCGTGTTTGTCAAGGACATTGAGGTCTTTCTTGTATAGTTCTTCTGTGTATTCTTGCCATCTTTTCCTAATCTCTTCTGCTTCTGTTAGGTCCCTACCGTTTTTGTCCTTTATCATGGCCAGCTTTGCATGGAACGCTCCCTTGATTTCTCCAATTTTCTTGAAGAGATCTCTAGTCCTTCCCATTCTATTGTTTTCTTCTATTACTTTGCACTGTTCATTCAGGAAGGCCTCCTTATCTCTCCTTGCTGTTCTCTGGAAATCTGCGTTCAGTTGGGTAAATCTTTCCTTTTCGCCTTTGCCTTTCGCTTTCCTTCTTTCCTCTGCTATTTGTAAAGCCTCATCAGAAAGCCACTTTGCTTTCTTACATTTCTTTTTCTTTGGGATGGTGGTGATTGCTGCCTCCTGTACGATGTCACGAACCTCTGTCCATAGTTCTTCAGGCACTCTATCTATCAAATCCAGACCCTTGAATCTATTCTTCACCTCTACTGTATATTCATCAGGGATGCGATCTAGGTCAAACCTGAATGGCCTCGTGGTTTTCCCAATTTTCTTCAGTTTAAGTCTGAATTTTGCAATGAGTAGCTCATGATCTGAACCACAGTCAGCTCCAGGTCTTGTTTTTACTGACTGGATAGAGCTTCTCCATCTTTGACTGCAAATTATATAGTCAATCTGATTTCGGTGTTGCCCATCTGGTGATGTCCATGTGTAGAGTCGCCTCTTAGGTTGTTGGAAAAGGGTGTTCGCTATGACCAGTGTGTTCTCTTGACAAAACTCTGTTAACCTTTGCCCTGCTTCATTTTGTTTTCCAAGGCCAAACTTGTCTGTTATTCCGGTTACCTTTTGACTTCCTACTTTAGCATTCCAGTCCCCTATGATGATGAGGACATCATTTTTTGGTGTTAGTTCTATGAGGTGTTGTAGGTCTTCATAGAACCGGTCCACTTCAGCCTCTTCTGCATCAGTGGTTGGGGCATAGACTTGGATTACTGTGATGTTGAATGGTTTGCCTTGGAATCGGACAGAAATCATTCTGTCATTTTTGAGATTGTATCCCAGTACTGACTTTTGCACTCTCTTGTTGACTATAAAGGCCACACCGTTTTTTCTACGAGATTCCTGGCCACAGTCCCATAAATGCTTAGGATAGCAATCAAGTCCCATGCCAGAGTAACTGGGAGATATACCAGCATAGTGCCCAGCCCCTGCTGGCACCACACCAGTGCAAATCTGATGCAGGAGTGCTGGCCTAGAGTCAGAAACGAGCAGCACCACTGGCATGCCAGGAGAGGAGCTGGGCTTAGTCAGTACCCCAAGCCCCCTCAGGCCATGTCCTGCTCCCAGCACAGGTGTAAAGTTGGGAATGGAGAAAAGAAAAACTGTTGCTTCCCCACTAGGCACTCCTCCCCACTGGGCCAGGGTGGTGTAGTGGTTAAGAGCCATAGACTCTAATCTGAAGAACCGAGTTTGATTCCCCACTCCTCCTCCACATGAAGCCTGCTGGGTGACCTTGGGCCAGTCACAGTTAGGGATGCTGGCCTCCAGGTGGGACCTGGGAATTCCCTGGAATTACAGCTCATCTCCAGACTACAGAGATCAGTTCCCCTGGAGAAAATGGATGCTTTGGAGGGCGGACTCTGTGGCATTGTACCCCACTGAGGTCCCTGCCCTCCCTAGGCTCCATCCTCGAATCTCCAGGAGTTTCCCAGTCTGGCTCTGGCAACTCCACCCATCCATCCCCCGCTGGTGGCCAGGGGCAGCCTGGCAACCCTAGTCCTCTCAGAACATTCTCAGCCCCACCTGTTGGAAGTGGAGGACTGTATGCTGTCTCCTGTCTCAGGCTTCAGAGATGGCACCATAGATTTAGCGACAGAGAGGTCAGGGGACACAGAGGGCATCCTTTCCTTCCTGCTATCTGACACTATCCCTTTGAAGTAGAACGCTAGTCTTAGGGACAAGACTTTCTTCCTGCCGCCTTAGACTGGATTTATATCCCGCCCTTCACTACCCAAAGGTGTCTCAGGGCGGCTTACAAACTCCTTCCCCTTCACTTCCCCACAACAGACACCCTGGGAGGTAGGTGGGGCTGAGAGAGCTCTGATAAAAACTGCCCTTTTCTCAAGAACAGCTGTTATCAGAACTATGGCTAGCTCAAGGTCATCCAGCCAGGTGCAAGTGGAGGAGTGGGGTTCTCCCAGATTAGAGTCCACACACTGAACCACTACACCAAACTGGCTCTACACAAAGAAGGATCACACACACTGTCCACCATATCCACCATGGATGCAGGACATGCTGCCAGCATCTGTATTCATCCTAGCTAGTTAGATTAGATTCTATCCCTATCTCTCAACCTGTTCTATCTAGAATGTAGTTCCTTGAATAAAGGATTCTTATTAGTTTGAAACTGACGAATGGCTCCGTGTAACTCTGTAACTTTGCTAGCACACATAGTATTGAGAAGCTGCTGCTGCATGTAGCCTAGTGCACCCTGCTATGTAATAGAGATTCCTGGCTGCGCCATACCAGTGAATCTCAGAACTCTCTCAGCCCCACCTACCTCACAAGGTACCTGTTGTGAGGAGAGGAAGGGAAGGCGATTGTAAGCCCTATTAAAACTCCTTAAGGTAGAGGAAAGCAGGGTATAAACACCAACTTCTCTTGTTCTTCTCCTTTTCCCACAACTTTGCCCCAAGAGTGGAGACACTGACCTTGGTGACTAACATTGGCCCAACAGCATTGATGTTGTAGACGTCCAGCATGTCTTTAGCGGTGATTGACTCCAGGGAACAAGGTGGCATGATACCGGCATTGTTGATGAGGAGGTTCAGGCCGCAGCCTGCCAAGTGGGCCTCAGCCTTCTTGGCAGCTGCCTCAACACTGGCTGGATCCGTGGCTTCTAGAAAGGGAAAAGTGACTTTCTTTTCAGTAAGGCTCAGCTGGGTTAAAAAAAGAAGTCGCTTCAGGCCTCACGTGGCCGGTTGCCACCATGGGGGGAGGAACTTAAGTCTGGTTTTACTGTATTTTATATTTTTAAAAATGAATTTGCTAGGTTTGAGTTCTAAAGGGAGAGATGCTTCTATCTCTAGTGAGTGTGAAGGAGACTAGGTGGAATTTGGCTTGTGGCATCCCCTTTTCTGCAGGTTCCTGGGCTCAATCTAGTTGGTTGGGGGGTTCTCCTGAACCAACTCACCTTCCTTGCAGCCAAATGGTAGTTGTGGGGAATTCCCACTCACTGCCCCATTTGTCCAAATGTTGCACATGTAGCCAGTGTAGCAAATAAGACCTCTGTGGCTGTTTCAGCTCAGGAAAACGGCATGGGGGAGAAAATTGAAACCCCTCCTCTCCCTGTGCCATATAGATGATCCATGAAATTCATTGCAGTCAGTGTCTGGATGCAAAGAAGCAAGTTGAGCTGGGAGAGGCCAGAACTGACTTTTGCAAAAACATATCATCTAGTTTGGGCCTCAGTCTTTGTACCATGGATGGCCAAAACTCATTTTCTGGGTCTTACGTGACTGGCCAAGAAGAGCTGGTCTTGATGCCAGTACAGAGGGGGAAAGAGAAAGGCCAACAAAAAGCGGCAACACTTTAAGCAAAGAAAACAGTACAGATGCACCACACAACTAGTCTCCAGTGGTCTCTCTTCCCAAAGGAAACAACCCTGGCAATTCCTGAACTTCATTCTGCTTGGTGGACATAATTATTGGAGCCATCTCTAAGCAGAACTCCTTAAAGCACCAGCAGGTCAGAATCAGTTGGAAAATGCAAAGGACTTTTATTTTGGAGCTTGGATGTCTGGAATGGGTTTGTGTGTTCTGTGTCGTTGTGGGCAGTTTGCCAGCCCCAAGGGCACTCCCTGATACTGTTTAGAGCTGCATGGTGTTCTTAGAAGCTGGCAAGCTGATATCCTGCCTCAGGCACACTGCTAATCCTCCCTGAATCCCAACTGAATAAGGAATCCACAGGGGTAACCAAGTTTGCCATTAGCTTAGTTACAACGGATTTTTTTACATTATTGACTCCAATGCAAGAGTAGGTTTCCCCCCAAGTATACCATCCAAAAATTTAAAACAAGAAAAGAGGGTGGGGTCATCTTTCACATACAAGTGACAGGTCCACTAAACATATTTTGCTGTATACTTTTTTAAAAATGGTCTGGTTGTCTTTCATAGAGGGTTGCCTTCCTTTTGACTAAATGTGGGTAATTCTTTAAAAGTACCAAGAAATGCTGTCCTGTTTCCCTAAGTATTCTGGGAAAACAGATCCTTTCCCGGTCCCCTCATCTTTTACTCTGCCCTGACCTGGATGGCCCAGGCTAGCCCAATCTCATCAGATCTTGGAAGCTAAGCAGGGTCGAACTTGGCTAGTATTTGGATGGGTGACTTCCAAGAAAAACCAGGGTTGTGACACAGAGGCAGGCAGTGGCAAACCACCTCTGAAATGTCTCTTGCCTCAAAAACAAGTCTAACTTGCCACCTAGAGGTGCATTGTTAAGTCCAGTTCTTAACAAAATAGTCAGAGAGTGATTTCAGCAAAACTCAGGTTTATTTCAGCTCGACGATCACTTCTCTAACACGGTACAACTTCTGATAGCCCAAACAGCTTTTCCATTGCAGCTGCTCGGTATTTAAACATTCCGGGATATTGTAGCCACACCTACTATACAGTTATCAACCTATCAGGTTGAGCGCATAAAGGACCAATCAGAGTCTTTCCCGCTTATATACATTCTGTAATGTACTGCCGCCATTACCACATGCAAGGTATTCAGCCTGACATGCCCGGACCTGCCCGGGCTGGCCAGGCACAGTTTAGCTGTAGCATCAGCCGAAAGACAAAGGATCCGAAGGATCCTAGCCGGCCCAATCAAAAGGGCTAGCTTTCCAGCCGGGAGACCAATGGTCACCCGGTTACTGTAAATAGCCTATCGGGAGTAGGGGGTGTGTTTAGGTGTACTGGTGGCGGGTTTTCTGAACGCATATATACCGGCCGGCGAGCTGGTTTTCTTTGTCTTGTTCTGATCTAATAAAGTACTCTTTGCTGAATCACTCAACGTCTCGAGTACTTTTCACTGGCGACGAAGGTGGGATTCACCTCTCACGGAACAAAGACCCGGAGGAGCACGCACCGAGCCCCGATCTAGACCGCCGCCGCTGCCGCCGCTCGTCTTCGATCATCGCTCACTCGCTAGTCTCGCTCCGTCAACCGTCGGCTGCATTCGCCATGCCGCGCTCGTTCGTCCCTCGCAGCTCGCCTCGCCTCGCCACGTTTTCCGCGCCTTGCTTGCTCGCCTGCCGCCTAGCTACACCTCGCCTCGCCACTACCCCAGCCTCGCCGAGAGCACCAGCGCACAAGCAAAATGTCGGAGCCGAATGCCACCTCTGCTTCTACCTCCTCATCCTCCGAGGCCACCTCATCCTCTGAGGCCCCCTCCCCCTCCGGACCCGCCACCGCAGCCCCAGCGGGAACCTCGCACTAGGGCATTGCTCCGTTTAACTTGGCCCATCCCAAGCGATGGACCACATGGGTGAGGATCCTCAAGCACTACCTCGCCTGCATGCGGGTCACCGACGCTGATATGAAGAGGTCCCAGCTCATACGCCTGTGTGGTATGGACACCCTGCTCCTTTTGCAGAACCTGATCTCACCTAAGGAGGTAGAGGAGGTGAGCTTCGAGGCCCTCATCGCGGCCCTCACGGCCCATCTAGCGCCACAGCCCTCCAAATTCGCGGCCCGCATGGACTTTTTTGCGAAGGTTCAGGGCCCCGAGGAGAAAGCTGCGGACTT